TTGAAGGGGTTGGTGTCGCTGGCGCTGGTGGGTGCCTGCAGGCGCCGCAGGATCGGGCGCCCCATCCGCCGCCGCTTGGCCGCCCAGTATTCGTACACGTCGTTGGCGATGACATCACGCACACCCACCTCCAGTAGGACCTGGTGTGTGTGCGAGTGTGTGTGTGTGTGTGTAGGGTGTGTGTGTGAGTGTGAGTATGTTTCTGCGAATGTGTGTGCACGTCTGTGTGTGCACATGTGTGTGCGCACGCAAGCGACTGATCGTGCGTGTGCGTGCAACTCAATGGGAGCGCGTCAAATACGGTCGCAAGAACACAAAGCGGCGAGCACCCATGCTGCACCTGCAACCCAAAACAACGCGAGGCGCTACACCAGTCTCCCTGCGCGCGCCAGGGCCACAGAGTACACCCCCCCGCCGTTGCGCTAGACGGACGCGCGTCAAGAAAGCCACGGGCTGGCCCCCAGGCCCCGGGCCCCACCTCCAGAGCCAGCTCCTTAGGCAGGTGATCAATGGCCGCCAGGGCTGTCGCGCTGGAGCGCTCCGTGACCGACGCGCCTGCTCGGGCGGGTGGGGAGGGGAGCCAGGGGGAGGAATGTCGGAGCGGGCAGCAACGGCGCCGCCGCGGACAGCACCGGCTCGTGCCCGGCTTTGTCGCCAAGGCCGAGCCTTGTTGGATCCAGGTGCGTTCGCGGCAGCAGGGGCAGAGCACGCGAGCGAGGCGCGCCTTGTCCGCGCGGCCGCAGCGAGGACGGCATGGGGCGCCCCGCGCTGCCCCGGATATTCGTGGCCGCGCACCTGCGCGCAGCAGCGCGTCCTCTGTCGCCTCTGCGCAGGCTAGCTCCAGCTTCCAGAGCATGCGCTCCAGCTTAGAATCGCTGGGGCCGCAGGAAGGGGGGTTGGTTTGGCAGTGGCGAGGCGGATTGATGGTGCAGCAGGGTTGTTATGGCATGGGAGGAGGGGCGGGCAACCATGAGTGTAAGCACGCAGGCACGACGTGACATGCTCTTGGGCCGCGGCAGCGCGAAGCACACCACGCACGGGTGCGGTGCAGCGGGCGCCGCAGGCGCAACAGGGGCTGCCCCTGGGGCCACAGCACCAGGCCTTCTGCAACCTCCCAGTGCCGGGCAGCGGTGGCCGGCTGCGCGGCCGGGCCCACCTGAGTTTCAGCCCCCCTATGTTGTAGCGTTCCAGCCAGTCCTCGTCATCGTTGTCGAGGTCATACTCCACCACAGTGTCGTCTCGATAGCCAGAGCCGCCTGGGGGCGCCGCCGCGCGCATGTTGGAGGGAGGCACGCAGTTTTCGCAGATTTACGGAGGGGGAAAGGGACAGGGAAGTGCGCGGCACTGGAATTCAAAAGCATGCGGTGAGGGGTAGCGCAGGCTGTACGCAGCCTCGTGCATGGTTGGTCCGAAGCTCCGAGCGCGTGCATCGGCGCCCGGCACCGGCGCGCTTGTGCCCCAGGCAGCTCGCATTGCAGGCAGCTGCGGCGCCGCTCGCACCTTTGCCGTGGCTGTAGTGTTGGGCTGGCTGGAAGACGGGGAGGTAGTCCCTGTGGTAGGTTTCGACAAAGTGAACCTCCGGGATGGGGATCACCTTGTGGGGCTTGGCGGGCTGCTGCAGCTGCTGCGGCCCGAACAGAAATTTGCGGCGATGGGGATGGGGGACGGCAGCAAGTTTGCGCGTGCACCATTACGAACGACTAGCATGACCAGCATGAGCGCGTACATCCAGGATCGTGGACGTGCAGCGCATGTGGCATCATCGCTACCGCAGTCAACACTGTGAGGCGTGCGCTGTGATCTGGCTTGGCGCACAGGGCGGCAAAGCAGTACGCGTGTGCGCTGCGACCAGTGTGCTCGTGCCAGACCGCGGCGTATGCAGCTGCTCTGATATCGATGCGCAAAGCCAACCTTAAGGTCCTGCGGCTTGTCCCCGTTGACGCCATCCTGGCTGTCGAGCTCGCTCAGATCGCGCACGATCGGCAGCGGCTTGTTGGTGTCGATGGGCCGCGGTCGGAACGTTGTGCGCGTCCCCATCCCGCCCGCTGGCTGCCGCCGTTGGCGCCCGCAGCTTCAGGTTCACAACAATGCTGCTCTGGGCGCGTTTGCTTATGGCTGAGGCACCAGACAGTCTGAGTGCTGCTTCGCTAGTGGTGTGCTGCACTAATGATCTCGAATTTGATTTGCGAACAGCTGTGGCATTCGAATTTTGCATACAACGCCAGCTTTGCATTTTTGAACCATTCAGAGTCTCACACCGCGCAAGATCAGGACCCGAGTCAGCAAAAGCAGCCTCAGGATGCCGCTCCTTGTGACGGCCCCTACATTGGCTCTCTCGCGACGGGATACCATAGTCAGCCCCTGTTCCACCAGCGGCTGTGCCACATTGGCCTGCCCCTCCGCCGCCGTGCGGCGCCCTCGGGCATGGACCGCCGCGCCGCCCGCCTCGCACGCCGCAGGCTGGCCGGTCTGCGCCGCGCACGGCCCGCGCGCCAGCCAAAGCACGCGCGCAGCAGCCCTCAATGACGGCAGCAGCCTCGGCCCCCAGCGCAGCGGCCCCCTCGTCAGCGCAGCGCGCCCTGGTGGAGCCTCGCCACCCACGGCGCCTCCAACGCGGCAGACGTCCACATCAGCGGCCCCCACGCCGAGCGCCCGCCTGACATGGGAGCTCTGCCTGGCCCTCTGCGCCGCCACTGGCCCTGCAGCGGCGGCGGAGCAAGTGGTAGGGTATAACGGCGCAGCAGGCGAAGGCATAATCAAGACGCTGTCGGGGGTGGTGTACCTTGGGCTGCTGGGCTTCTTCCTATTCAAGACGTTCAACCGCCGCGCGCGCCAGGCGCGGGAAGAGGTGCGCCCCCGCCGGTGCGGAATTCGCCTGGGTCATACGCACGGCGCGCCGTCGCAGGTGCTGCCGCCGTGCAACGCTTTGATGCGAGGCGACGGGCCGTGCAGGCTGGGTGTGTTCGCAAGCGTGCGTGTGTGCTGTTTGGGCATGGGACGGTTGGAGGCTCCGCAATCAAGAAAACAGACAATCGCTACGCATAGGATGCGACCCAGACCAGCTGTTCGAATGCTTCCGTGCTGCAAATGGAGACGCTTGCATGGCCAGCACCGCTGCAGACGCGCGTGACCGTGCCATCCTTGCCTGCGCCTGCTCTGGCCCCTGCAGCGCCTCGCAGGCCAGGGCCCCGTGCGGACTGTCTTCACCAACTTGGTGAGCTGCGCGTGGCACCACGCGATGCATCAGCTGCGATGTCAACTGCGTTGCAGACTGGTAACTCACGGTGGCAGCGGAGAGGGCGTCGCCCAACTGCAGCAGTGGAGGGCTGCGTGGCAGCGGCCCATGTGCCCACGCCAACGTGCCTCTGCCACCGCCCTGTGCCCACCCCTGGCACCTCTCCCAACTGCAGATTGAGAAGGCCCAGGAGAAGCCGAAGCCCACAGCCACTCCCCTCAGCTGCATGTTGTGAGCAGCCGGGGCCCGCTGTGGCCAGCCCTGCCCACACCCACTGCTTTCATCTGGGTTCGAAATTCAACAGGATTATGACAGCTTCGTGTTTCCCATAGAAGGCCTCGCCAGAATCCTGAAGTGGTGCACCGGCCGACGCTTGTGCCCTGAGCGACACCTCCACCACACGCGCCCGCTCGCAGTGGCGCCGCGCAGGCGGGCGCCATCGCCGTGGGCCTCTTCATATTCACCTCCAAGGTCGAGGGCGCCATCAACGTCCAGGCGCTGCCAGACGCCTACACCGCCCGCAACATCGCCATCACCGTGCGCACCATCATCATCGGCCTGCTCTACCTCGTCACCTTCATATTCAGCGCCAACACCGTCGGCCTCGCGGGTGGGCGCGGCCGGCGGCAGCGGCGGGCGGCGGCGGGGCGGGCGGCCGGGGCGTTATGCTCGTTGTTGGTTGCTGGCGCCAGGTAGACAGCTGCTGAGGTTGAAATCCAGTACCCTGCAATGTGCGCTACTGACAACTGGTGTGCTGCTGCGCTCTGTGCCCCACCACCCGTAGGGCTTTCGCTGCAGATGCTGTTCTTCCCGGACTCTATCAAAGAGGATGAGCCCCGCCCCAAGCCCACCGGGCCGCAAATGCCGCGCATCACAGTGACGTCATCTCCTGAGGACATTCGGCGCGCGTTTGAAGCCGTGTCGGCGCCGAGCACGCCGCCGCGCAGCGCGCCAGCAAGCCCGCCGCCTGGGCCTGCAGAGGCGGGGGCAGGGGCCGGCGAAACAGCGCAGCCCAAGTAACATTGCGGCACGCCCTTTGGTCAAAAAATCTTGCAAAGGAAAGGGCTGGCTTTGCGGTTGTGTGGGACCGCTTGGCATTCTTGCATGGGGTTGCACTGATCTGCAGCAAACGGGAAGGTGAGGGGTTGCGATTTGAGTTTGGTCAAAGCTGGTAGGTCGACTCTCAGATGCATTAGTGAAGCAAGCGCGCAAACTTAACATCATATGGGTGCATTCTTATCGGCATGATGAGGCAATGGCACACTTGGTGAGAGTGTTGCTGATGTTGACCGAGCGCAGTCAATCGTGAGTTGTCTGTTTTTTTCCGGTGGTCTCTGCTGCTGTGGCTGACTGCTGCCTGCAGCCCTGATCAGGCAGAGGCTACTCCATCAATCACCAACTGCATGCATACCCCCAACTACGCCTGGTCCTAGAGGTGTAGGCCGCTTGTCATCGAACCTGATGACGTCGTGCCGAGTGACAAATGCAATGTTTGACCACAAGGACACCGCAGCTACACAAGGCCTGAAGTGACGCTGTATATTACCTTCTGCAACGACCTTCATATGCGGCCCCTGACGCGAAACGCATAGCAGCAAGATCGGTCGATTGCTGCCCGCAGGGGCCATGACACACACAAGATTTCAGGTTGCTCCGGCGACAGGGTATGATGAGTCGCTAAATGCAGGGACGCCTCCATCGCCCTTTGCACGGCTGAGCAGGCAGGATTGCAGTTTTGTAAATGGCGAGCCAGAGGAGGCCCGCAGCAGGCCCACATGCGTCTCCTGGACGGCGCTTTGGGAAAAGATGACTCCTAAGCCACACGGTGAGCGTTTGTACCTGCGCGCACGCTGGATCCGCGGCCCTTTGGACCCGCTGCCTTGGACCTTGAGCAGCGGCCTTGCAATCCCAACCCAACTTTACTGCCTTGCCCATGCTCTATGGCCCCACACAGCCGTCATGATCCGTTTTGAGGTCATACTGCTGGCGGTGGTCGCGTATGGAGGTGGGGGGGGGGGGCGGAGTGGTGTCACTCAGCGGACAAGCGGCTTTGCCCGGTGCCGAAACCTGCAAGACCCCGCAAAGCTTATCGCCCCTCTGCAGTCGGCCGAGACAATGGTTGCCACTCAGCCCCGGGTAGCCCATGCACCTCTAGCAACAGCCGCCGGGGATGCATGCCACCTCTCACAAAAAAGGCGTGGCTCGCGGCCTGCACTCCCAGGGTCTGACTTGGCTTGACAGCTTTGCCTGTGGGGTCGCGCCGCTCAGGGGGTCGCTTGAGGGGGCGTTGGCTGAACCTGCGCCCCCTTTTGTCAATAATGCCTGATGACTGCATGGAATACGATCCTCCCACTTGGCGCTCGCAAGGCGCATCAGGACGCAGGCTACAGCCTGTCCCCTGGTAGCTGTTCATTCCAAATTGCCAAGGCCTCGGCTGTGCATCAGTGAGTTCTGCACGCCCCCTCGGCGGTTGCCTCCCAACAGCGGTCCGCTCACCCAGCATTGCCCCAAAACCCCTACCCCACCCCATTGAGCAGTTCTCTTTTTCTCAATGGGAGACATCTGGCTGCCCGGCCACGCCGCATTCTGCGCCGTCCTCATCTGGGCGGGCTCCCTGCTTGGCGCAGAGTTCGCCCGATGGGTGCGCGCAGCGGGGCGACCGCGCGCTGTTCGCTGCCGGGAACTTTTGGTCGCTTCCTGCAGGCCGGCGTCGGCGGCTGCATCGGCGTTTGCGCTGGTGTTGGCTGTATATGCTCGCGTGCGCAGGCTTGTCTGCGCCAACCTGGGCCGCTCCCTGGAATCTGGCCCGGCGGCCGTCGGCAATCACGTGTCCGTCACGGCGTCGCCGCAGCGCCACCCCACCCCTGCATGCCAGCCCCTCCCC